CCGCTCTCTACCGCCCGGCCCTGGCACTCGCTAGCTTTCCTGACATCTGGAACTGTGCACCTGGCACCAAGCGGAAAATAAACTCCAAGCAGCCAGTACCCCGATGGTGTGTTCCTGAACTGTGCGGCCTGAGGTTCCGTTTGAGTGTGAGAAATGGCTGAATCCCTCCTGACCTCACTCCCTGATGGGGGCTGGCCCTGCTCCCAGGCCTTCCTGGGCCTCCTCACTCTGTGAGGTCGCTGCTGGGACTGAGAAGGACGGGATTCGCCGCTGCTTCCGGGGACCCTTGGACAAGCAGGCCCCAGGGCAGCCACTGAGGTGGGCCCCTGTGTCACCTTCAGCCGGGGGGAAGGGAGCAGGGAGGGCTGGTCCTCTGAGGGAGCTGCGGGGGGAGTAGCCTCTGGCTGTGAGCTGGAAAACCCTCACTCTGGAGGGACCTGCTGGTGGGGTTTGGGCAGCTTCAGGGCTGTCTCCCAAGGGCCTCCCACGGGGATGTTGCCCCAAGACAGGCTGAGGGGTAGCAGCTGCAGGCACCCTGGAGGGGTCTTCCTGTCGCAGGTAGCCCAGCTTAAAGGTCAGAGGGCGCAGGAACTGGGAGGATGGCTGCGTCTTTCTGGCCTAGCACAGGCATGGAGTGCTGGAGCCCAGGAGTGCTGCAGTCCAGCAGGGGTGGGGGTCCACACACAGGAGCTCGTGGGCTGTGAGCTCAGTAGACTCCTCCATAACCAAGGTGGGTGGTGTCACCGCACCTCCAGGGACCCACAGGGATTGACTCAGTTCTGTTGAGAGGCAGCTTAGTGAGCAGGTGGGAGTCAGTCAAATAGCTGGAGACTCGGTGTGTGGCCAGGGACATGGTGAGGGGAGGGGCCGCCGTGGGGTGGGGAAGGGTAGGGCTCAGGAGTGGAGGGACCTCTCTGAGAAGGGGTGGGATTCAGGGGGGGAGGGGAGGGGCTCTGTGGGGAGAGGTGGGGACCAGTGGGTGCGCCCCGCCTGGTACCCTGCTTCACTGCACTATAAATAGCTGCACCAGTTGGTGGGAAGGCATCTGGCTTATAGCCTCTGATGGCTCAGCCTTTGTCCTGTCTGCAGGGTGGGGGCAGCCTCACCCAGCCATCCAAGCCAGTGGTCAGTGTGAGGCTGGGTGGGGAGCCTCTGATGGACCCAGGAGTGGGAGGCTGCTCCCAATGGCAGTTGAGCTCCCTGCAGTCTTTTGTTTTGCAGTGTCCAGATGAAGCCCACAGAGATCCTCTCCATGCACACACAGCTGTGAGGGTAGCAGGAGTTGGTGTTGAAGAGAGAGCCCAGCCACGCTCAGGTCATGTGGCCTGGGGGGGCTCTGCCCTTGGCTGAGCTGGAGGACTTGGGGTCAGAACCAAGGGTGGGTCCACCCTGCTTAGTTAGAAAGAAGCTGTGCCTGGTTTTTGGAGTTAGCGGGGCAGGGGCACTGCCCAGGAGCTGGTGTCTTGGATGGGGCAGCTGGGAGGAGGGAGCAGTCAAGCCCCAGGCTGCCCAGGGCATCGTCCCCTGCCTCAAGTCAGGGGACCCCTTGGCTGGAGGACCTCACGACCCTGGGAGTGTCCATGGCCTGCTCCTGGGAGCTGCATCCTCATCAGATTCTCTGTAGGGGGAGAAGTCACATCTTTTCCTCACCCATCACAAGCTTCATGGCTGAGACCTGTTAGAAGCAAAATGCTTCCTCAGTGCCACAAAGAAATAGCACTTGAACATTAATTTTCTCAGCAAGGCCATTTTTACTTCTATAGAAGGGTGCAACTCGCGGATGGAGCAATGGCGAGAGCACACCTAGACAAAGGAGGGGAAGGGGTTCTTATTCCTGACGCAGATCCTATATTGCTGTATCGTTCCCCTATTGGGTGGGGTTGGACCGCACACTCTAAGCTAATTCTGATTGGCTATTTTAAAGAGAGCAGGGGTGTGAGCCAGAGTGGTGGGGTGAGTAGTTTGGTAGGAAGGACAGTTAGGAACAGTTAGCTAAAGATGACTTAGGTCAGAGCAGGTGACCAGGGGTGACTCAGGTCAAAGCAGGTGACCAAGGGCCGGGTGTGGTGGCTCACGCCTGTAATCCCAGCACTTTGGGAGGATCACAAGGTCAGAAGATCGAGACCATCTTGGTGAACACAGTGAAACCCCGTCTCTACTAAAAATACAAAAAATTATTTGGGAGGCCGAGACGGGCGGATCACGAGGTCAGGAGATCGAGACCATCCTGGCTAACACAGTGAAACCCCGTCTCTACTAAAAATACAAAAAATTAGTCGGGCGTGGTGGCGGGCGCCTGTAGTCCCAGCTACTCGGGAGGCTGAGGCAGGAGAATGGCCTGAACCCAGGAGGCGGAGCTTGCAGTGAGCCGAGATCACGCCACGGCACTCCAGCCTGGACGACAGAGTGACACTCCATCTCAAAAAAAAACGGTGACCAGGATGGGTCAGGACGAAGCAGGTGACCAGGGGAACAGATGTGAACTATTGATTAAAACTGGTGGAAAAGGTTGTTTACTGAAACCACGTGGAAGTTAAACTTTAAAATGGAGAACAAAGAACTGCAGATACTGACACGCTAATTCCTCAGAGAGACATCTAGAACTTACTGTATCCAACAGACCCTTGAACAAAAGACAGATTAAGCTGGGGGCGGTGGCTCACACCTATATTCCCAGCACTATGGGAGGCTGAGGCGGTTGGATCACTAGATGCAGGAACTTCAAGACCTGCCTGGTCATAGTGACCAACATGGCAAAACCCCGTTTCTACCAAACACAAAAAAAATTAGCCAGACGTGGTGGTGCATGCCCATAGTCCCAGCTACTGGGGAGGTTGAAGTGGGAGGATCCCCTGAGCCTGGGAGGCAGAGGCTGCAGTGAGTCAAGATTGCGCTACTGCACTCCAGCCTGGGTGTCAGAGAGCAAGACTCTGTCTTTTTAAAAAAAAAAAAAAAAGCATACAAATATTTAATGCAAGTTCCATGTGATGTGGGCCCCTTCAAAACAAAGACCAAAGAAATGGGGGTATTTCACAATGGAGCAGGAGTGAGCGGAGGACGGAGGACGGAAGGGTGTGACTCTGGACTCTGACATCCCTTTCCTCTGGTTAGGGGCGGGACACCATGTGACGGTCTGCAGGGTGAGAGTCCAGGGAGTGGCCTTCCTGGGTTTTATGGCCTGCTTCAGGGAAGAAGGGCAGGGAGGCAAGAATGGCCTCAACAGTGAAATATTTATCTTTTTCTTCCTCCCTAATCCCTCCAGAATTCAGAAACTTGTTAGCAGATTTACATAAGTTCAGTAAGAATCTGTTCTTGTAATAGGGCACAATTGAAAACATTGGTTATATTACCAAGGCTCTGACTGGAATGTCCTATTTTCAGATATGACTAAAGGAGCTAGGGTTGACGGCATGGTCCAATAAATCCCCTTGGAAAAAAGCTGGCCTGGTACCTCACATACGTGGTTCCCTTACAGATGAGTAAGGCATGTCAATTCCTTGGCAGCTCCCAGAATCTTAAGATACTTTTGGGGACCTCAAGAAGAGAGGAATTCCCCTAAATGTGTACTTATTGCAGGCAAAGTCTGATGGCAAGTCTTGGCGATGGCTTCCTAGCCTCAAGAGGTTTTTAAAAGCCCAATCTCAGATTCCTTATAAAAAGTTCCAGTAGGCCAGGTGCAGAGGCTCATGCCTGCAATCCCAGCACTTTGGGAGGCCGAAGCGGGCGGATCACGAGGTCAGGAGATCCGAGACCATCCTGGCTAACACGGTGAAACCCCATCTCTACTAAAAAATACAAAAAACTAGCCGGGCAAGGTGGTGCGGGCGCCTGTAGTCCCAACTACTCGGCAGCTGAGGCAGGAGAATGGCATGAACCTGGGAGGCGGAGCTTGCAGTGAGCAGAGATCAGGCCACTGCACTCCAGCCTGGGTGACAAAGCGAGACTCCGTCTCAAAAAAAAAAAAAAAAAAAAAATTGGCTTAGTTTCTATATTTCTCAGATTTTAGGAATATTTTGTTTACATAAGTACTTGTTTATCTGTAAGCCAAACTGAATATAACTTTTTAAAGATATTTTATAAATTAATTTGGTAATACCATCTGAGCAAATCACAAATACATAATAAAAACACATATATACATAAAGAATACACAGATACAAAACAGATCTTACAGCTATTATTTTAGAATTTTTATTCTCAAGTCAGTAAAACATAGGTGTCTCTTCAATTTTTTTTTATTTTTTGAGACAGGGTCTCCAAGCTGGAGTTCAGTGGTGCAATCACAGCTCACTGCAGCCTCGACCTCCTGGGCTCAAGGGATCCTCCTGCCTCAGCCTCATGAGTAGCTGGGACTACAGGTGAACGCCACCACGCCTGGCTAATTTTTTTTTTTTTGCGGGGGGTAGAGATGGGGTCTGTCTCTGCTGCCCAAGCTGGTCTTTCCTCATATTTCTCTCCAAGGTGTGTTTCTGGCCAAAATGAGACAAGTTAAGATTCCTCACTCAGATGGCTAAAGCTGTTTACTAATATTTGTGGAAAAGACTTCTAAGATTTTTTATTTGCCCAGTTTTCAATAAGTTTTTTTCCCCCCGAGGACAGGCATCTCCCTGAAGTTTGTATTTTCAAAAAGATGATTCAGGTTTTAGAAGAGACGAGGTAGAAAATTTACATCTCGAAGGGACGGAGAAAAACCTGTGTTCTCAGAAGAAGTCAGGGACATGTTTAAGGTCAGAGGCCATCCTTTTTTTTTTTTTTTTTTT